CACAGACTTTCCCATCGCAATACGTTTTTTTATGCTCTATCTGCTCTAGTAAGTTGTAATTAGGGATTTAAAAAAAAATTATTATTCTCTCTCTCCAATAAAATAGAAAATCTACTGCAAAAGATGTCTCTTTTTGCAAAAATGCAATTTTGACAACTAAGGTGCACTTGATCCAAGTCATTAACTTTCAAAACCCTTGTATGCTTATGAAAGCCAGTCAATGAGATAGGAATACAGAAGTAGAATTAACACACATGCATTGCAATTTCTCTGAAGATTATCGAATGGGAGATGAACTTCCAGATAAATGAAGAAATCCATTTTCGAGAAAGTGCAGTCAGAACGCTCCTTAGAAGCAAACAAGGATGATAAGACTTTTTCGTGCTTACTTTGGACAAGTCATCACAAAAGACTAGAGTTAGAGAGTAGAGATTTCACAAAAATTTGAAAAGAATTAACAAGGTGGCTGCAACAATGGGCTGAACATACCAAAGAGCCACACTAAAGTTTGTGAGGGTGGCACAGGCCCAGGAAACACTCTATTCTGTTATATGGCTGACGTCACCAGGAGTTGGATCAAATCCACAACAGTTAACAACAGTTATAAGCAGTCAATAAATATGAACACTAAATAACACCAAATAAATAAATATGAACACCAAACAAAGGGAGCTCTCCTGGCCTAGTGTCAAGAAGCCGCACTTCAATCTCAAAAGCACATGTTCAAATCCACCAGCTGCTCTGGGGGAGAAAGATGGGCATTCCCTTCCTGTGTGATTAACTGCCTCTAAAAACCAGCTGGAAGGTCAATTATGGGTCAGTTACGAAGAACACAACAATACAACAACAAACTAGATAAAGTTAAAAAAACAACCAAGGAGTGTTGATTATTGTTTTAAAAGTCATGGTGTAGAAGGAAAAGTACTTCATTTTTCTGGACCATCTAAGTATTCTCTTTCATAGTATTCTGTTTTAAGCAACACAAGTCAGTGTTCAAGGAATTAATAGACAATGACTATAATTATGTAGTACATTCCTTAAAAAGTAAATTGAGTCATGTTACCTCAGTGAGAACAACAAAAGCAATGAAAATCTTAGTCATACTGAAGACTCATTCAGTAACACACAAAGCTCTAGTAGCCTAGTTTATACTACAAATATTTTCTCTAACTGTAGTATTTAGTGGAATTATAGTGAGGGAAGATGGTTCTTCACTGACAACTCAACTCACTGTTCAGTTGGAACCAACTCATAATCGACCTTCCAGTGGGTTGTCAGAGGTTGTAAATCACATGAGAGGTGACTGTCCATCTTTCCTCTGTGGAGCAGCTAGTGGATTCGAACTACCTGCTTTTGAATTGACAGTGTAACTCCTTGTCTACTAGGCCACTAGAGCTCTTGTCACTATAATAAGAAATTAAAATCAGAAATTTATGTAATTCAAACATCTCTAACTCTCACTAGCCAAAAAAATGACTCACTTAAGTGCATGCAAATGTAAA